CTGATAAGAGAGAAGGGGGATAAACTTATCTTTTAATCAGAAACCCACTCGTTCAGTAATGAACCCACTCCCACAATAGCAGCGTTAATTCATTCACGAGAGCAAAACCCTCACGACTGAATCAGCTCCTAAGGTTCCACCTTGAACCTCTCAACCCCTGCACTGGAAATTAAGTTACATGAACTTCGAGGGAAGCATTCAGACCACAGCAGTATGTGTCTGTCTGTATTTAGGTATCCATATGTATGTATCTGTATCTACATGTATCTACAGGCAGTTCCTAACTTAGGGAGGTTTGAGTAACAATTTTTCACCTTTTCAGCAGTGTGAAAGCAATACATGTCAGTACAAACTGTACTCCGCAAACCTATACAACTAGTTTTTCACTTCCAGTATTCAATAAATTTCATTTGATATTCAATGTTGCATTATAAATAGGCTTTGTGTTAGATGATTTTGCCCAACTCTAGGCTAATGGAAGAGTTCTGAGAATGTTTGAGGTAGCCTAGGCTATGATGTTCTGTAGGTTATATGTATTAAATGCATTTTCAATTTACGATTTTTCTGCTTACGATGAGTTTATCAGGACTTAATCCCATTGTAAGTTCAGGAGCATCTGTATGTATCTGTATCTACATTTATGTTTTCTGTACCTATGCATCTATAGCAATGCATCTCTATCTATATCTGTATTTGTATCCGTATCCATGTATCTGCCTATAATTTATATCTGTATCTGTTTGTATCTGTGTATCAGTCTCTATGTATCTGTTTGCATCTATACCTCTGTATATATGTCTGTAACCATATCTCTAACTGTCTCTATACAGACATATAGCTACCCTGGCTTCTCCCCAAGGGAGACAAAGATTTTAAATCAAAGAGACTCCTTCTCCTCCCCAGACCGGGAGACACTCTCCTTCCTTCCTCAGTAGGGCCAGCAGAGAACAAGCCATTTTGAAGGCTGAGGCTAAAGTGCCCCTAACATCCACAGAGTCCCTGCTCTTTGGAGGAATGGGGTGTCTAGGCTCTGTGGCTTCTGGAAAATCAGGTGTTATGGGCTGAACTCTGTCCCCTCAAATTCATATGCTGAAGCCCTAAGCCTCTGTATCTAAGAACAAGACCATTTGGAGACAGGTTCTTTAAAGAAGTAATTATGTTAAAACGAGGTCACTAGGGTGAGCTTTAATCCAATGACTGGCCTAAGCAGTCATTTATTTTAAGAGGAGATTAAGACACAGATGCACAGAGTGAAAACCATGTGAGGACTCAGGGAAAAGACAGTTATCTACGAGCTAAGGAGAGAGGCCTCGGGACAAATCAACCCTGGCGACCTCCTCTATCTTGGACTTCTGGCTTCCAAAACTATGAGAAAATAAATTTAAGCTGTGCAGGCTGTGGTCCTGTGTTACGGCCGCCCTAGAGACTGAGACACCAGGGAATGCTGTGGTCCTGCGTTACGGCAGCCCTACAGACTAAGACACCAGGGAATGCTGGGCCTACGGGCATGTTCGCATTTTGTGTAACTGGAATCACAGAGTGAATGAAAAGCCATTTCCCTGCCTTATAGCAGAGAACAATTTGAGAAGGGACAGTGGGCAGTGTGTGTGTTTGGCAGTAGATGCCTGGTGGGGGGTGTTACTGGAAGTGGCTCAGCTCTGCCCTTTTCTCCTCAACCCTAGGCCCAGCAGGCCCCACAGTGACCCTTTGCTGTCTCCCAAATTCTTGCCTTTTCAGGATGAACTTTGCCAGGACACAGGGAAACCGCATGTCCTAATGCAAACACACAGCTTCCTAAAAGTTTTTAATTTTCAAATTATGCAGGCAATACGTGGGTTAGATGCATATAATCTTGAAGCACATACTCCCCAAACCCAAACCTCTCCTTAGGGAACCATTATTTTGTGTGCATCTGTCCAGGCATTTTCTTATTCAGTTATATGTTCACATGTGAGTATGTACCCGTATAGAGCTTTTAACTTTTTAAACAAATGGGGTCATGCAATACTTGTTATCCCAAAACCTGCTTTCTTCATCTGGAAATAAGGCTCAGGTCTTGTGGGTAAATGAGGAATTGACCCAGATGGCACAAACTCTGGGATCCTCTGAAGAGATGAGAGGGACAAGACCCCCAATCCCCATCCACAGCACTCCCTGCAGGGGTCAGCGCTGGAACCTCCATGGCACCCCCTGGCCCAGAGGTTGATAAGTTTTCTGCCAAGAGCCAGTTAGTATTTTCGGCTTTGCAGGCCATGCGGTCTTTGTTGCAACTATTCAGCTCAGCTGTTTTAGCCTGAAAGCAGCCACAGACAACATGCAAATCAATGGACATGGCTGTGTCCAAGAAAACTCAGTCTACAGAGGCAGGTAGTGGGCCGCACTGCTGCAGTTTGCTGACCTCCGCACTTGAATCTGGAATCTTTTAAGGCTGCCCCATTCAGCTCTTGCTCCCCTTCCAATCTGCCTGTTGCTACCAATGTCCCAGGAAGGCGTAAGGACCTCAAGCCAGCTGTGCTGAGAATCATCTGGAAGATTCTAAAGGCCGAGAAGCTGAAACTTCAGGAGGTGGAGCTTAGGCGGGAATACTCTTAAAGCTTCCCAGAGCCGGGTGCGGTGGCTCACGCCTGCAGTCCCAGCACTTCGGGAGAGCGAGGCGGGTGGATCGCCTGAGGTCAGGAGTTTGAGACCAGCCTGGCCAACATGGTGAAACCTTCTCTCTACTAAAAATACAAAAATTAGCTGGGCTTGGTGGTACCTGCCTGTAGTTCCAGCTGAGGCAAGATAATTCCTTGAACCCAGGAAGCAGAGGTTGCAGTAAGCTAAGATCATGCCACTGCACTCAGGCCTGGGTGACAGCACAGACTGTCTCAAAAAACAAAAAACAAAAAACTCCCCAGGCCATTCAATTATGTAATGAGTTTGAGGACTCGTTCTGTCCTCCAGGAATGATGGCCACTGACAACAAGGAGTGGGGTGGGGATGGGGCCCTGAAGGTAACGTCCCCTCAGCAATGACAAAAGGGACTCTAGAGAAGCTGGGAGACACAGGGGTGGTGGGTTCCTGGCGCTGGGCCCCACGCCGCGTGGGTGGTGAAGGAGCCAGGCAGAGCCACCTCGGAACCCCAGCTGTCCCTGACCACGGTGAGACAGGAAAGCCAGATGACCAGGACAATGTCTGAGACAGGGGCCTGCTCTGCGCAGGCCCTGCGGTTCTAGAGGGTTTAAGTCAGTAGAGAGAGAGAACAAAAAACCAGCAGACTTGAATACAACTTCCCTTCCCACCCTCTGTCACTGAACGTCCTGTACACTCCCTCCCACTGGCCAAGCTCCAGCCAGGAGTTTGATGACCGAGGGGCCTGGAGTCCGTCCTGAAAGCGTTTCTGCATTTTGATTGACAGAATTAGTCGTCCTCCCAGACGCCCAGGGAGCGCGAGGACCTCTCACTGAAGCCTCTGCCACTCTTTAAAGGGCGGAGTTGGTGAAGCGATGGCAGGTGATCCTCGCGCAGCCCTGGGGAGGCGCTGCGGCCCCCAGACCCTAAGAGCTCAACCGCACAGCCCCAGAGGTCCCGTCTGCAGCCCACAGCGATTCACTGAAAGAAAAACCAGCCCTCGCAGCTCTGCAGACGCTGAGGGAGGCTCTGATGCCACCAGCCTTTCCGTTGCGACCGCTCTGCCCGCACAAAGACTCCTGCCCCCTGGCGGGTGGCGCGCGGCCCAACGCCCCCGGGCCCCCGATGCGCCTCAGCCCAGGGAGCTGCTCCAGCTCGCTGCGGCGTCCTGACCCCACCTGCAGACGGGACGCCTGGGCCAGGACGCGCAGCCCGGGCCCAACCAGGCAGGGCCCTCAGACGCAGGGACGTGGAGGCACAGCGGAGAAAGCACAGCCTCTGCTGAGGTCGCCCCTCTGATCACGACCCCACCACGCCAGCAGCTCCCGGCGTCCACCGGTGCTAACCACACAAGGAAATCACGTGGGGCAGACCTGGCCAATCACTCCACTCCACCCCATTTCCCTGATTGGTTCTGGGACAGACACATGACTCACCACAGCCAATGAGAACCAGCGTGGGGCTTGCGCGGGGAGTGCTGGGGAAAGCCTCGGTTTCCATCCGGGAGGCAGAGAAGATGACAACAGGAGCCTCAGACCAGCGCAGGTGCAGGAGCCCTGGGCACAGCCTCCCCACAGATGGGCCTGACTCCGGAGCCCGTAAATCCCCATCCGTGTTTAAACTCTGAGTTGGGGCCGGGCACAGTGGCTCACGCCTGTAATCCCAGCACTTTGGGAGGCAGAGGAGGGCACATCACCTGAGGTCAGGGAGTTCGAGACCAGCCTGGCCAACACGGTGAAACCCCGTCTCTACCAAAAATACAAAATTAGCTGGGCGAGATGGCACACGCCTGTAATCCCAGCTACTCGGGAGGCTGAGGCAGGAGAACCGCCTGAACCCAGGAGACAGAGGTTGCAGGGAGATCGCCGCCACTGCATTGCAGCCTGGGCGACAAAGCGAGACTCCGTCTCCAAAAAACAAAGACAAAAACAACAACAAACTCTCAGTTGGGTTTTCGGTCACCTGCAAACCACTGTAACTGTTATGTGTGGTTCCCTGGAGGCTTCTGCTGAGATTCCCCTCTGCAGCCTTGGAGTCCTGGTGACTCCTGAGCAAGGAGTGAGCCGGCGGGTGAGAAGGCGCCGGAGGATGGGGAAGGAGGAGCCCGCGCCTGTGCCGTTCTCAGGGCTGTGTGCCTGCACCTGCCGCCTCGGCTGGAAGAGCCCTGGGCCTTGAGTGGACCCGCCTGGAAAGCACCGCCTTCCTGAGCGTTCAGGGAAATAAGACCCTCAGTCACTGGCCCAGAGGAGCCCTAGCAAGGAGTGACCAAGGAACGCCACTGCATCCTTCAGAAGCTCCTCAGGGAGCCCCGCGCCATCTCCAGAGCCCGGCACCCTCTCCTCCTGCCCCTCCCCAGCCCCACTCTGCGCCCACAAGGGCAGGAAACCTACCACGATGACAAACAGGGCAGGGGCTACAAAGGCCCAGATGGCGCCACTCCCCAAGGACAGCCAGCAACTGCGGAGGGAAGCAGAGCCGTTACTTCAACCACCTCGTTCCACCTGCCAGCGTACCTTCATCCAAAAGTAGTTGCTCAGGTGATGTCTTTCTCAGCTACAGGGTCCACCTGGGGCAGCCATACAACTTTCCTAATCCCTGCAAATGTATTTTTATCCATGATGATCCCACGTCTCATTCTTAAAGGATTTTCCAGGTTTGCAGACCAGGACAGCAACCTCTGGAGAGTTTAGCCAAAATCCAAAATAGATTTTAATTTCATTATGAAGGAGACCTTTGCTGGGGACTGGCTTTCCTGCAGAGCACTTCAAATATGACCCAATAGGGGCCTTCTGCGAGGGATGACCATACTGATGAGTCGTCAGTGACACAGCACCTGACCATTCCCATGTGCCCAAAGCTCGGGGTCAGTTCCACTCCCTCAGCGCCCTCCAACTGACAGGAAAGGTTCCAGAGGGTCCTAGTGATTGCTCTGATGTCCTGAGAGGAGGGTCCGGTTTGAGGATCTGGCCTCTGAGAAGTGACGCCCAGAACTCAGGCAAAAAAAAAAAAAAAAAAAGTCAACTCCTTCACAATTTCATCTCCAGAGCCTATGGCACTGTCAAGAGCCGAAGATTCCCGAGGACATCTCATCTTCTTGACTCCTGGGACACTGTTTCCCAAGGACCTGGAGTGCCTTTAATTGGATCTGGGCAGGTGCGTGGTGCAGTCCTCACTAGCACACAATGTGGTGTCTCCCTGGGGCTGGCTTATTTCACTCCCTCGGTGACTGCTCACTGAGCAGCAGGTCTGCCCCAATGCACAACAAACTCCATCTCATTTACTCCTATGCTGGCCCTGAGGTGGGCGCTATGATCACTCCCATCCTGCAGATGAGCAATCTGAGCCCTAAAAAGCTCAGGTGACTTCACTGTGGGCAAACTGCCTCCCTGCCCCCACTCCTCCCCGAACCTCCCGGCCCAGGAGACAGCAAATGCCCCAAAACAAGTGACAGCACCTGCCAGAGGCTCATTCATGGCTGCACACCCAGAGTGTGGAGAGGAGAAACCTCTCATCTGAGGATGCACCGTTTAAAAGGAAAATGCACCACAAGTCTGAATGGTACCTCTGCAGAGGCGCGATTCAAACCAGCTCTCTGGAGAGTGGGATGCTTCTGCAAAGAGAGAGATTGTGCTTTCCAGCATTTCATGCAGAATTTTAAGTCAACAAGGGGCTTCTGATAGATACCTTATCCTGTTCAGAAACCCGGTGAGCTTCCTGAACCTGGCTGGTGCTGCCTGGCTTTCGGGCAAGAGTGTGGGAAAGGCTTATATTAGAGTCAGACCCTGGGACTCAGGACTGTGGGTGAGCCCAGCATCCTCAAGCTCTAGATGCGATAAAAGGGAACAAATGTCATCGAGCTGTGTTTGAGGAGAACATTCTTCTTCTAATTAGTCCCTCAACTTCTAACAGCATCCAGAATTGAAAGGATGGGCCAGAACAGTGGTCTGCGTAACCACGCCTGTTTCAGCGTGCTCTCAAACACTGCCTTCTACAAATGCTTCGCCTTCAGGGAACCTGCACCAACGTGGAAAAGGCTGGATTTCTCCCAGTTTCACTACTTGTCTGTACTATTATCTCATTTTGAAGCTGTGAAAATGCCCAGCTTCCTTTCTGTTTGTAAGCACCGTCAATATTTATCTTCCACGTTTTCACTCAGTGGTTTCTCAGCTTGGCTGGAACAGGTAGCAGCTTCCAAGAGACATTTGAGTGAAAGCTCTTTAACTCGTAAGGAAAGAAAATCATATTTCTGGAACCTGAACAGCTGATGTGGTCCCACAGCACCATCCCATCCTCTTCCTGACACAACTGTGGGCCCATGAGCTGCATTTCAAGTGGCAGCAGGAGATACTGACATCATAAGGTCCATTCCCTACTATCCAAGCAACGGGACCCTCGAGACCACCTGCCTGGCACACAGCAGGCCCCATGCACTCCAACATGCAGGTAGCTGCCCCGCTGTCAGTTACTGGGCACACGGTCTGCACAGTGCCCTTGCTGACCACCCCAAGAAAGGGTGAAAGGGTCACAATTCAGCCTCCGTGGATGACCAGAGCTGTGTCTGAGAAGACCACATGGGTGAAAAATTTCCAAGCAGAAACTCCTACAGCCCCCTGCTATTCCTGGAGGCGCTCTGTAGTCTTTGTTGCTAGTTCCAAGGCCCAGAAATGTCCAGAGCACAGCTGGGTTGTTTCTCCCTCTCCCTGGACCACGACTTTCTCACTGCCTGGGCTTGTGGGAGCCAGCTTTGCACAGCACCCCTGCACCCAGAACCGCACAGGCAGGCAAGAGCCATGGGGCTCCTCACCACAACCGGTTCCATGGAACGCCTGCCAAAAGCAAGGCAAAGCCCTGCACTTACTTGTTGCTTGTTCCGTAACTGTCCATGGCAAACGACAGTGAAATGATGCAGATCAGAAGAGGAAAGCCTGCAGAAGATCAGAGAATATCATGTTCACTTGCTCCAGTTTTCTTCCCTCCCTCCCTCCTCCCCGCTCCCTCCCTTCCTTTCTTCATTCCTTGTACACCTGATATATGTATACGGAGGGGGAACTATGTGCTACTTGTCGGGACACAGAACAGCCCCTATCCTCAAAGAACTTTTAGTCTAAACAAAGGAATCACACACACTCACACTCATACTCACATGTTCACACTTATGTACTAGACAAAGTGTGTGTGTCTTCATCAAAACAAACCATGTGGGTGAGATGTGGTGTTGTGACTGGCAGGAAGGGAAGCTCAGCTTGGTCTATCTAGACCTGTGGTTCTCAACCAGGGCCAAGGTGGCCCCACAAGAGACAACTGGCAATGGCTTAAGTCATCTAGGGTTGTCATAATGGGATGGAATCAGGCAGGCAGAGGCCAGGGCTCCTGCTAAGCACCCGACAAGACTGCCCCACAAGAGTCACCCAGCCCAAGTATCCATAGTGTTGGTTGAGAAGTCCTGTTCTAGAGCAGCAGGGGAAAGGTGGGAGATCAGTTGGGACTAAGGGGACATTGGATATGGCTGACTTTGCCACGCACACGGTCCACATTCTTATAGTATTTGAGCCCAAAATTTCCTTAGGGAACCCATCAACACTCCATCTTTCCATGAGGTCCAGGCAGGTTGGTTCCTTCCTAGCTCTGAGGCATGTGACCCAGGACTGGCTGACTGGAATGTCAAATCCCCCAGCCACAGCTATTGGTTCAAAGATGGGCAGGTGACCCTGGCTGGCCCAATGAGACTCAATCAAGGGCTTTCTTCAAAACTGCTGAGAAGAAACTCTCTTTTGCACCAAGCCCCTAAGAGGATAAGGATGTCAGTGAGCTTGGGGTCCGGGCAGCCATTTTGGCACCACGAGAGAGTACGTGGCTCCAACATACAGGAGATCAGATCTCAGAGATGGAAAAAGAAGACAAAATCTTGATTATATTACTTAAGCTCAAGGATCAAGCCATACCTGAAGTCCAACATCTTGGAACTTTTTTGTTATGTGAGCCATTACATTCCCTTTTTGCTTTAGCCAGTTCAAGTTGGATTTCTCTTACTTGAAACTGAGTGTGATAAATTAAATGTGTTTAATATTTGACAAAGCCAAGTGAGACTTTTGGGGGTGGTGATAGAAGGGAGGTCCATGAATGAGGTAGAAAGCATCTGGATCACAGCAGTCCCCAGAGCTTCGTCATTCTGCAACGAAAACACTCTATGGTCAAACTACTTTTAGAAACTCACCTAACCCAAATCTGAACTGGCCTCTACTTTCACTTTTAAAGTGCAGAGGTTTTGTGTGCTAATGTGTCTCATGACTCTCCAAAAGGAAGATCGCATTGCAACACTTCTCACGCTCAGCCATCCATGGAATTTGTCTGGAAACATGGCTCTGCCTCCACATGCACCTGTGAGCTTTGAAACAGATCCTGCACGAATGGGAATCTGTTTCTGAAAAGAACACACTTCTGGTTACTCAGCATCGTCCACGGGGCCTGCTCTGGTGCAGCCACCCTGAGCACAGCAGCCTCTCTCCTCTGCTCCCTCTGCAGGGAAGGATGGGAGAGAGATGGAGAGACTGCAAAGGACCAGCTCCTTACTCCACCCCTGAACCTTTTCCACAGGAGGATGCTCAGGAGAAGCAGCTCCTGGCACATCTCGGATTCCTGGGATAGCAGCGGGGGCGATGGAACCCCATGAAGAGCATGCGGTTCTCTGCCTCAGTAGCTGAGGCCACACAGGTTCTTGGAGATTTCTGCTCCAGAGGAAGGAGGAGGAGGGAAGGTGGCTCCTGGCACCCACCCCCGGCTCCAGCACCCGCCCGAGTGCCTCCAGGCCACAGTCCTCCAGTGCCCTCTGGGGGCAGAGTACACACCGTGCCTGCCCTTCCAAATGTCAGGGTTTGGATTTTAAGTTAATTACCCTGGAAAGACATTTCCTGGACAGCCTTGTCTCTGAAATACTTTGTTTTAAATGTCAAAAGGATCTAAATGCATTACAGAATGTCTGGGCAATAAAGTTGTCCAGAAGGAGACGAGGTGGCCTCTGTGGAAGAGGTGCACAGTTGGGGCCCAGCAGTGACTGTGGGCCTTTGTCGTCTGGTCACTCTGAGTTTCCCTATGTGAGCTTCGCTGCCATTTCTTCCCCTGCATCTACCCCTGCGTCCAGCAGAGGCCAAGCCATGGGCAAGGACAAAGGGTCTGTCTGAGAACAGGGTGGGCCCCGCTGTCTGCTTTCTCCAAAATGAGCTGCAGAAGCTACGAAGTCTGTGTGAGTGAGTTTGTGGGGCTTTTTAAGAAGAAAACATTCCTAAGTGGGAGGATAAGGAGAGGGGCAGTAGGATGGAGAAGACAGTGAGTGGGAAGAGCATGGGCTTTGGGTCCAGATGACACCTCGTTCTATTCCTGGGGCTGCCCGGGACCAGCTGTGCAGCTGCAAGGAACCAGCCGAAATTCTGTGCTCAGACCATGGGAACATAGTGAGTGCCTTCATCATTAGGACGTGAGGATGACATACACTGTCTCTGAATCATGAGCCCCTCGATGATGAAGCTAATCCTGCAATAATCTCTATCATCAACCAGCTCAGACCTCACCCCTTTCCCACCACTGCTGTCGTCTGAAACTCTCACACAGTAACCCGGGCAGACCTGGAACATGCTTCTGCCAACAATTTAAGTCCCTCTGGCCCTATCATCAGAGACATTTACTTTGTGTGCTCCTCTTTGCAACACGGTGACCTTTAGAGGGATGAGACCGGTTCTGTCCTTGGCATCTGCCCCTAAGATTCAGGGGCAGGTGAGGAGCATGTGTTGAGAGATTAACCGAGGTGGGTGAAGCGAAGGCCTGGGAGGATGGGCACAGGGGCAAGGTGTCCCGACAGATGGGGTGGAGGGAGACAATACCAGGGAACTATGGAAGTCACTGGTGCCACCTATTTCCAGATGCCCCACATGTGGGCACAGGGGAGGTCCGCACTCCTGCCCCTCAGGGTTCTTGAGGCCATGGGGCTGGCTCTGGGCACTGAGTGGTGTGCAGAAGCGACACGTGTCTTATGGGCTGAGCACATGATTTCCAGTGCAGTGTCCTCTCTGACCCCTTCCCTTGCACAGCATCCAGCAATGGCTCGAGGCGGTGCCTACTCCATCTGCCTGGGCTCTTCACTGTCCACCACCACTAGCCACCGTGGACATGTCACGTGCACAGGAAAATGACGTTTGTTCTTTAAAACCAAGGAGGGATGGAAGCTGTTTGTTATCGCAGCCTTGCCAGCCTGCCCTGACTGATCCCCCTCCTGTGATCGTGGCATTATGCAATCTCCCTGGAATGAAAATGCAGCTTCAGAGAAAGGGGGGGCCTGGAACGAAGATTAAGTTTTGTCCCCAGAGGAATAGGAGCTCACAAAAGAAACTAAGTTGCAATAAAGAAAAATAAAACGAGCTACATTCCCTTCACCTCTGAGTTTGCAATCAGAGTTTCTTGTCTGCTTCAGTGATGTGTAAATTCTCCAACGCTTGTCACTCTGCTCTCCTGGCTTCCTTGTGGGCTCCTTGAGGACAGAGGATCTGTCCCTCCCTTCAGAGTTCCTAGCACAAGTCTAGTAGTCAACAACACCTTAAGGTTAGGTGTGGATTTGATGCCCCCACCACCCCACCTCAGCTTCAGAACAGTCTCTAGGTTTCCAAAAAATAATATTGCTCAAAAACTAGAGTAAGGCCAGGGTGAAATCTGCAGGAAGAAGCCGCTCTCCCAGGGGCTCCCCCCGCCATGCTCTGGGTGGGCCTCCAGCTCCTTAATTAAAAACTGAAGGTCGAGAGAGCCCAACTGCCTGCAGACCCCCCGACTTCAGCTGGTAGCCAGCTCCAATCCATTTGGAATGAAAGACACAGTTCTCGGGCTCCTGATGAAATTAATTAAGGGAAAGCTGACAGGGAGATAGATGGAGGTTGCAGGACTCACAGAAACAGCCAGCGCTCCATTTGCAGAGAACTGTGTCAGGGACTACAAGCTCAGTCTCCTACTGGGGCCGCATTGGTATCAGAAAACACACAGTTCCAGCCACTGTTGTCAAGGAGGAATATAAACTCAGGGCATTAGATCTCCTCATTTTTCAAAAGAACTTTGTAATCTTGTGTAAAATCCCTCAATCTTAAAATATTGGCAAATATTTCACTTTTTCCCTTTAGTATTGTGCAGATCAAGTAAAACATCCTTCCAGGCTGGACTGGTTTAGATCCTCTGTCTGTCACACACGCACCCCAACCCTATCCCATCGGCGACATACACAGCCCCACTACAGAGATTCCGCTCACTCTGGCAACAAATCCTACAGACGCTTTTCGTTCACCCCAGCTGTCTTTTCTGTGGCTTATGGAGAGTGTGTGTGTGCACGCACACATGCACATATGCCTCTAAATTATATGACTGTATCCATAAAGAAACTATAATAAACTATAGATGGTTGGCCGTAAATCATCCTCTAAATCCTCCCTGATGAGGTCAGATATCATCGGAAGGAGCAGCTCTCCTCTCTGGAGCATCACAGAGGCCTGAAGAAGCAGGTCACACGTGACCTGGAGGGAGGGCAGAGGACACTGACCTCAGGACCAGTGTGTGCAAAAGCATCCTCGTGATGATACAGCGTGAGCAGCGAGACAGGACAGAGGACATCCGTGTGACTGGGGGAGCTCCCTGCATGACCAGCAGCAGTCTGCAGGTGGCTGCCCAAGTGGCCTCTTCAGTCTCCCCAGGGAGCCACGAGGGGAGCATAATTTATCTCCACTTAATCCTCAAATAAATTACATTTGCCAACTCAAAGCACAAAGTAAGCCTGTTTACCTGCTACTTGCATAATGAAGACTGTGAAAATTAAATGTATTCGAAACAAGCAGCAGGTCCCTCATGTCTGGTCAATGTTCCACAACTGTGAGAATGCTGAGTGTCAACGCACAGCCCG